GCTGTTTTGAAGAAAATTAAGTGGAGCATCAAAAACTAACCAAAACAAGATGTAATAAATAGCAATAATTTAGGGTTACCAACATGAATTAGTAGTCAAATTGGCAGTGGCATAGACATAGAAGATAATCTATAATGTTTCTAGAAATTGTGACAAACAGCAGATGCTCCATTATTTGTCTCCAGGGCAAACAACTTTTTCTTCAAAAAATACACTGCAAGAAAAAAAAAAAGGATGAGGGAGAATGCATAGACTGAAATTTAAGAGACATGACTATCAACTGCAGTTTGTGAACATTATTTGTTTTTTTTTAAGTGACATTTATAAAACCATTAGAAAACACTATCATATATGTAATGGATTTAAAGCAGTATTGTCAATTTTTTTAAGGACTAAAAAGCCTTTCTAAAGTTGTGATATATTTTAGAGATAAATACTGAGATATTTATGGATGAAATACTATGTTTGGGATTTACTTCGATAAGATGGAGGTGGGGGAGAGTGAGTGAGATTACAGATAAAACAAGACTGGCCATGAGCTGATAATTATTGAAGTTAATGATGGGGGCATTGGCCTACATTATAACATTCTGTGTATTTTTAAAACAATATATTTTTATTCAATTTTTACAGAGAGGAGAGGGGTAGTTAGAAACATTGATCAGCTGCCTCCTACACACCTCCTACTGGGGATGTGCCTGCAACCAAGGTACATGCCCTTGACCGGAATCGAACCTGGGACCTTTCAGTCTGCAGGTCAACGCTCTATCCACTGAGCCCAACTGGTTAGGGCACATTCTGTGTATTTTTATATATGTTCACATTTTTCACAATAAAGTTAAAGTATATACATTTTGATCTTGCACTTCCACTTCTAGAGATGTATGTGTAAGGATAGTTATTATAGGATTGTTTGAAGGAGCAAAAAAATAATGAAAAAATGAAATTAATATGGTTTAAATAAAATTATGAAACATACACATGATGGAATACTATGCAGCTGTTAAAAATAAGGCAGCTATATATGTACTGATATGGTCCAATCTTCATGGTGTATGGCTAGGTAAAAATAGCAATGTATAGAGATTTGCTACCATTTGTGTCAATTTTTTAAATAAAGAATAAGTTATGCCCTAGCTGACTTGGCTCAGTGGATAGAGAGTCAGCCTGCAGACTAAAGGGTCTCAGGTTCGATTCCAGTCAAGGGCACATGCCCAGGTTGCGGGCTCGATCCCCAGTAGGGGGTGTATAGGAGGCAGCTGATCAATGATTCTCTCTCATCATTCATGTTTCTACCTCTCTCTCCTTCTCCCTTCCTCTCTGAAATCAATAAAAAGAAATATATTTTTTTAAAAAGAGTAAGTTATGTATAACTATACAATATAAAAATCAGGGCATGTATACAGGACCTTCATATCAGTGATTGCTAAATAATAGTTAATAGGGTGAAGAGCGGGCAGAGATAGCGTGGAAACTTATGTCTATATACCAAGTTATGTAACTTTAAAATTTTTATCTTGTGCATGTGTATTAACTATTCAAAGTGACAATTTTTTAATGTCATAGGTTAGTTAAACCACTTAAAGAAAAAATGACATACAGAACACTGCTTTCTCATCATTTATAGGCAGTGGCACATGCAGAAAATGCAGGTGCTTTAATGGAACACTCAGGGTATCTGAGAAGATGGATGGCATTTGGGGCAAAACAGGTCCCCCTGCCCCAGACACTGCCTGGCTACCACAAGGGCTGAGGATCTATTTCTTTTCTTTCTTTTTTTAAAAAAATATATTTTATTGATTTTTTTTTTTTTTTTACAGAAAGGAAGGGAGAGGGATAGAGAGTTAGAAACATCGATGAGAGAGAAACATAGATTCAGCTGCCTCCTGCACACTCCCTACTGGGGATGTGCCTGCAACCAAGGTACATGCCCTTGACCGAAATTGAACCTGGGACCCTTCAGTCCACAGGCGGACGCTCTATCCACTGAGCCAAACTGGTTAGGGCTATTTCTTGAGATCTGGATTCACAAGTCCAGATCCAAAGGTCAATGGGGCTGGATCAAGGCTCTTCTCTTCATCATTGTCCTCTCCTAGAGTCACACCACCAAAGTTCTAAAGACATCATTAACCCAGAACTTGTGAAATCCCAAATATTCCATTTAAAGTTAGCTTCTTAATTTTAATAGATTGGAATAAATTTTACTTATATTTATCTTCACAAATGATAACCATCTACAATTTATTTTTTGGGCGCTATCCTTGTTGAGATTTTTTAAATCATAATTTTATTTACTCTTGGAAATGAACTGGCAGATAATCCCTCCTCTCAGGGATTATTGGTTCCTTGAAGTTTTTGTAGGAAAACTACTTTCTCTGAAGAGACAGAGCTTTGATGACTTTTTATGTCCTTTCATAATCTTTGATTTATCCAGGTATTCTACATCTTCTTGAACCAATTTTGGTATTTTAGAAAATACGTTCTCTCTAGTTTTCAAATATATTAGAATAAAGTCATGCATAGGAGCTACTTCAAAAAAACCTACCCCTTCCTCATTTATAATGGTAAATGTGTTTTTTCTAGATCAGACTTGTGAATCACCTTATATCTTGTTGAATAAACTATGTCCAGATTAAGTCTACTGTTTTCTACTTTATTGAAATGTTCTTTTCTTTTTAATACTAATTCTTTTTTTAAAAAATATATTTTTATTGATTTCAGAGAGGAAGGGAGAGGGAGAGAAAGATAGAAACATCAATGATGAGAGAGAATCATGGATCGGCTGCCTCCTGCAAGTCCCCCACTGGGGATCGAGCCCACAACCCGGGCATGTGCCCTTGACTGGAATTGAACCTGGGACCTTTCAGTTCGCAGGCTGACGCTCTAGCCACTGAGCCAAACTGGCTAGGGCTAATACTAATTCTTAGTGTTGACTTGGGTTTATGTGGTAATTTTTCCTAACTTTTAGTTGGCCATTCATTCATTCAGAGTGCTTGATATGTGACCTGCAATGACTAGGTGTTGAAGATTGACATTAGGAGAACAAAACCCTTACCTTCAATTCTTGCTTCTGACCAAAGTACAGCTTTGGCTACAATGATCTGGTTTTGATACATAGAATTCACTGTCATTCATTTCTAGTTTGTACATTTAGTTTTTATTTTTCTTGAAATAAAGATATACAGTACTTGTGGTTTTAGATTTCTAAATGGCAGGTTTCTTTTGGCTACTTTTCTGTTAACTTTTAATTTTCTGATTTTTGTTTTTTTGCTTTTTTAAAAAATATATTTTTATTGATTTCAGAGAGGAAAGGAGAGGGAGAAAGCGATAGAAACATCAATGTTGAGAGAGAATCATTGATCGGCTGCCTCCTGCATGCCCCACACTGGGGATTGAGCCCGCAACCCAGGCATGTGCCCTTGACTGGAACTGAACCTGGGACCCTTCAGTCTGCAGGCCAACGCTCCATCCACCGAGCCAAACCAGCTAGGGCTTACTTTTTTTTTTCTTCAGATAAAAGATGGGAGACCATGCTCTATTGACTTTGCTCCTATGAATAGGTAGCTATAGGCACCTAGGACTAATATGAATTTCTAATCTTTTAAGTGAAGTAACTTCTCATGATAATTATACTTTACTGTTTTTCAGAATGAATTATCACAAGTTATGAGGACTTTCTGATATTTGATATTCATTCAGAAGGCCCTCTTCTCACATGTTCCTTAACAGTAAGACTGTTAACTAATGATAATAACTAATATTTATTCAACACAGGCTTTATTTAAAATATCGGACAGTCCTCACAAAAACTCTATTAGGTAGGTATAATTACCATTGCTTAAAAACAAGTACACTGAGGAACAGAGAGATTGCATAATTTGCCCAATGATATACCATCAGTAACTGGTAGAAATGAGATAATGCTAAGTAAGGTATATGCTACGACAAAAGGCACATTCACAAAATATTTTAATTGGGTTATTTTCTCTTAGGAATTCTCAGAAGGTTGATACATTTTGAATGGTAAGAAGGACTTTACATTCATATTAATATTTTTTCACCATAAGTTCTCTGATATATAGTAAACAGTGATTTTGAGGCAAAAAGAATTCCCATGTTTATTGACTTTTCTTCTGGTATGAGTTGTCTGATGTTCCACAATGGAAGTGACAAATGAAGGTTTTCTGATATTATACTACATTAGGCATTATCTAATATTAAGTCAGGTGTGAACTCCATTAAAGGCTTTCCTGCATCCCTAATATTAAAAGCTTTCTAACCAGTATGGGTTCTGTAGTGTTCAATGAGATGTGCACCAAGAATAAAGGCTTGTCCACATTCTCTACATTCGTAAGGCTTGATACCAGGATGAATTCTCTGATGTTCAGTAAGTTGTGAACTGCGAATAAAGGCCATTCCACATTCCCTACATTGATAGGGTTTCTCACAAGTATGGGTTCGCTGATGATGCGTCAGTTGTGAAACACGAATAAAGGCTTTCCCACATTCCTTACATTTGTAGGGCTTGTCACCTGTATGGATTCTTTGATGTTGAATAAGGTATGAACTACGACTAAAGGCCTTCCCACAGTCCTTACACTCATAGGGTCTGTCACCAGTATGAACTCTCTGATGTCGAGTAAGCTGTGCATGCTGTCTAAAGGCCTTTCCACATTCTTTACATTCATAAGGTTTCTCCTCAGAATGAATTCTTTGATGTCGAGTAACTTCTGAGCTATGAATAAAGCCCTTTCCACATTCCTTACATTCATAGGGTTTCTCCCCCGTGTGAATTCTCTGATGTACAGTAAGTTGTGAATGCTGTCTAAAGGCCTTCCCACATTCTTTACACTGATAGGGTCTAGCACCTGTATGAATTCTCCGATGAACAGTAAGTTGTGAGCCACGAATAAAAGCCTTCCCGCAGTCTTTACATACATAAGGTTTCTCACCTGTATGGGTTCTTTGATGCAGAATAAGTTGTGAATGCTGTCTAAAGGTCTTTCCACATTGTTTACATTCATAGGGCTTGACACCAGTATGAAGTCTCTGATGTAGAATAAGTTCTGAAGTACGACCAAAGGCCTTCCCACATTCCTTACAGTCATAAGGTTTCTCACCTGTATGGATTCTTTGATGCTGAACAAGGTGTGAGGCTCGACTAAAGGCCTTTCCACATTCCTTACATTCAAAGGGCTTTTCACCAGAATGAGTTTTCTGATGTTGAATAAGGTGTGAGCCACGGCTAAATGCTTTCCCACATTCATTACATTCAATCAGTTTCTTTCCAGTCTCATTGCTCTGATGTAGAGTGAGGGATGCATGATGTTCAAAAGTGGGTATGTTTTCATATGTTATTTTTACTTGCTTGAAATAGCATTCCTGGTTTACTTGTTGTCTTTCAAACTGGCGTTTGTATTCCCAGTCTTCTCTAAAACTAGAGCTCTCAAAACCACAGCATTTAAGGCTTTCCATTAGCTCCCAATTGAATGTCTCTACTTCAAAAATATCTTTTTGTGGAAATTTCTCACACCTGGACTCCAAGTCTGAAAAACATATATATATATATACACATATAAATGAATACAAGTTGTTCTTTTGGTCTAAAAGAAATAAAAAAATTCTACAGTAGACTAGAGACATAAAAGAAAATAACCATAAAAGGTGAATAGCTTATATTGAGACAGGATAGAAAGAAATTAGGGAAACTCACTAAGTGGAGTGAGGAAGTAGGAGTGGACATCACAGGACCATAGTGTCAGATCCTCTCACCAGAGCCCCAGCCTCCACGCATGATCATGGGAAATAGTTTATGGCAGGAAAGTCCTGCACTGGTGCAGAAGTCAGCAATAACAAGAACTGGCTAAAACCAGATCAATCTGAGATTGAGGAAAAACTGACCAGAGAAAGACCCCAAAGCTCATTATACCATCACTAGTGGCCCAGTGCATGAAATTTGTGCGGG